ATATCAAAACACTAATTTGTACAAATTATACAATCACCTGATGGAGGATTTCCTGCCTCTGGATCCGGAAGCATGGAGGAAAGAAAAGTCAGCATGTGTGCTTCTGAACCTTGAGTAAAGCTTAAGAATCATTTCTAGATTCTATTTATTTAAAACAAGCATTCACCAAACATGCAGGAGTAAATGTTCATTGTTTTTTCCTGCAGACCATGAAGTTAACCTTGAATTTCTAAAGTTGAAACACTGATAGTCTCAACATTATACCATCTTAGGGTTAATTGGTGTCACCACTGTGTTTAAAAACACTCACTAAATAACTTATCCATGTTAGGATTTTTTTTTAGCCCACAGACAAGAGACCAAACCATAAACTGTCAGTTATGTAATGTAGTGTAAACTCGACACACACCTCCTCTGGGTTGTATTTAGCCAACACACCGTCTCCATGGAACTCCTGCAACACATCCTTTAGCTTCTTGGTGGAGTCTGAGGGAGAAATGTTTACAGCGTGTCACCATTTTCTGGTTCATTTATATCTGGGCTTACAGTACATCTGTGTCTGCACCCTGCTTTAAGCTCTATTCACAGCTTTGTATGGAGAAGATTAAGTAGGTGAATTTTACATTTTACCCTGCAGTTTACTTCTTTTTGGCTTCATATGGAAATTTTACACCATTTATTCCAACCATTGTTGCAGATGTTTTGGGCTCTATAGACTATGGCTATTTGCCTATGGCATTTAGAGGCTAAAGCCTGCAAAAAAACAACCTGAAAATGCAACCTGTGGTTGGTTGATCATATGAAATTATTTATCTATTAACTGTTTATTTAATAGAGACAGAAAAAGAAATATTGTTACGATAATGAATGCCGTGCTCATAGACCATGTAGCCAAAAGCTAATTTGCAAACAATGTTCCTGAAAGACTAAACACAATAAAAACCATGCAAATTGAAAACAAGCATAAACAGCCTTAATTTGATTTGAACCATTTTTTCACTTTATCATTAAAATTGCTCAGTTCTGTTAGAGACTTCAGTTCAGCAGGTAAGGTACTGTATTCCAGATCTGTGGCCGTTTTACATTAAACACAATATGTCCTAAACATGTTCTGCAATGATCCGGTCTGCAGTAACGACAAATGCAGTTGGAAAAACCTACAATTCGATTTAATGAATAAGAAAATAATTCTAGTCTATTCAGATGAAAAGTACCTTTACATTGAAAATTCTGCCTGTAAGGTTTTTTGTATACGTCTAATGTAATATTCTGACCTCAAAGGTCATGTTTTCATTAGCTTGAAGAGGAAAATTATCGCAGTAAACAGAAAGGCTTTTTTTGTTTTAGTCCTGTTTAGCAAATATAGATAGGATTTGATGTCCCTGAACTAGTTAATAGCCTTACAGCTTTGCTTCCACAAGCAGATCAGTGTGACTGTTGCCATAAGGTTTAACTTTATCCATTTATGTTAAACTTGAACCTTATTTGGGAAGTGAAACAGTATACAATGCACATGGAAAGGGAGGTGGAACCAAGGGGAGAAAGAAAGAGGGAGACAGGAAAGGGTGCATGAAAAGAGAGAAAATAAAGTATCACAGAAAAAAAAGAAGACAAAGACGACATACAGTAAGTCCTAGAAGTCTTCTTTCACAGCTATATGAGACACGAGGGACAAAAAAGTGAGAGCATAACAGCAAAAAGAAGATAACAGACAACCAAAGTAAACTTTAAATTAAAAAAAGCATCAGAAGCAGAGGGTATCCTTTAGATGTCCCTGTGTGTCGGAGTCAGAACCCATGGTGATTGCACAATGTTAATCAGGGTGGTATATATATATATATATATATATATATATATGTGGTTGCAGCTTAGTATTTCATATTACTGTAGTTTTTATCTGTGAACATCTGAAACTAAATGCATAAGCATGCTTGTATATAAAGGATTCACAAAGCTTCTTCAGAAGGAAAGTATGTTTAATAGCGGGTGTGGGCAGTCCCAGATTCCCCCTACAGGGCCCGGGACAGAAAAAGAGGCGATTCAAGCCCGAGATTTCCAATGGCAACCCAGATCACTGGGAGACAAAGAGGGCAGATGTAGGGATTGCTGAGTGAGGGATGAAACGGATCAATGAGATTTTTTTTTATGAATCTCTTGCGTGCATGTAGAAGAAATGCAGCTTAAAGATTTTTTTTCCATTATAATCAAAAGTAGCCGATATGTTCTATTTAGTGAGAAACTGCATTTCAGCTCTGTTGACCCTTTTTGTTACCTTCTACACTAATTGCTTTGCATCTTTTATTTTCTCTAAATCTTTCTTATAAATAGGGCATTGAAATAAAAGCCCTAAACTCAAGTGAGAGAGTCACATCATTACTGACCATCTTTATAAATGCGCCATCAGTGCAAAGCCATTAGGAACAGAGTGATAATAGCTCCACTGATTAGCTGTCTGGCACATTGTCCAGGCACAGCTACGTAATAATCTACAATTAAGACAAGGTAATGATTTAAACTCGGAAACAGACTTTTTTTTTTCTGCTATAACAGCAACAGAAATATGTCTCTATTGAGTAGCAGCATATTGCGAATGTTCAGAAAAGCAATTATGTTGCTGAAAGAGTAACTCTAATTGTTGTCAGACCTTGCGAGGCAGCCAGCTATTAAAATGTTATGAAAGTGTGTACAGCTCACTTTAATGATGGGCGAGGGGGAGATACAGAGGAGAGGAGATGAAGGATGAAATGCCTATTGTTACCAAACAGGGGATTTTATAACCACGGGATGCAGAGTGTAGCGAAAGCAGCAAGGGGCTTTTGGAAACATGATTATCTCAAATCTGTCAGCTGTGCATCTTTGGCTCACATACACCGTTTTTACAAACAATAGCAGAGGTTAGTGCCCCTTTGCTATTGCTGTTTTAGCTTGTTTTCCTTCCACTATAAAGTCTAAATATTATGTAATGAAAAAAATCTATTTTTAATACATACATACTCCTACAGTAGATATGACTTTCAAAATGAAACTGAATGCCTGAAAACTTGCCTAAAATAACAAAAAAATTAAAAGGCTGGTTTTGAATTGGTTAGAAGTGTTTTATTTGTTTGCAACAATTCAAAAACAATATCTGACATTTAACAGGAAAAATATTTAAGTAAAAAAGAATGTTCCTTTCTAAGATTGATTGTATGTTTATTTTTAATTTTAAAACAAATAGTAGCACTGAAATATTTTTTCTTGTTTTGGTTCCTAAACCAGTTTAGTTTCAATCTGTATACAGATTGAACTGCATGATAGGTTAAATATTAATGCTGGTATTTAACCTAGACAGAATAGTTCTGAGATAAAAAGTCAATTTCAGCGCAAATTCAGGTGTTGGTACTAAACCCAAAGGTAAGTATATAGCCTTAGTTCATCTAGAATTACATCTAAAGTTATATTTAGAAAATTATTATATTAAATAGATCAATAGAAATGCCAAGCTGGTTTTACAACATCATTTTAAACAGCTTTTCGAAACATTATCACTCTGGTCCTAAAGGATTGCATACCCCAAATTCAGTTTTTGGTTATAAACTGTAAAAAAAAAATAGATGTCTTATACTGTCTATAAATCCAGAACCATTTAAAAAATGTACACTTTTGTATGTTTGGTGCCCTCCTTGGGTTAGAAAGATGTTGCCGCATTTGACTTCTATTGCTCTGCCAGGGATGTGATGCTATATTATTTAGAAGAATTGATGACAGCAGCTCTATCCGTGCCTATGCTTTAAAGTCTAAAACAATGATTTGTCATTCATTTTGAAACTTCCTCTCTTCCTGGCATTTCCTCTATGTCTAATGAAGACCTCCAGGTAGAAAACATCCACCTCATATAACTGCTCCATCACAAAATGATCACTGGGTTGCTCTGCTTGCCATGTTTGGGCCGCTGTCATTGTGCCGTTGTCAGTCACAGCCGAGACAAACCCAAGCCATCAATGCCAAGGACGTTCTGTGGTCCTCTGGGGCATTTTCAAATCTAATATACAGGTAGAAGGGATGTATTTTAAAGAAGGTCCTGGACTGTCCTATGGTGTTGAAGTCTGGAGGACTTTTCAGCATCACATAAGTAAGTTGGCCCAAAAAATATATATACATTTTACTATATACCCACATAAAAACTCAGTGCTTTGACGATTTGTCTAAATCTTTTTAGATTTGACATAAATATCATTCAATTAATAAAATATCTCGATGTCTGAAAGCACGGCTTAAACATTGAGAGTTCAGTCATATTAAAACAAGAAACAAAATTATGTGCCATAAATTCATAATTTTAAGATGTCAAAAGGTATAAAAACTTAAGCCGCTTCCTTTTAGTGCAAACTGCGAGAAAAAAAGTCTTCCTATACATTGTGTTTTGGTGTAACCGTGGTGATAGGACTGGTTTTACAGCTCACAGATATTTCTTGTTGTAGTTACCTCAGTGCTTTGATGTTATCTGAGAAGTTGTGTTTATGTTTGTAGTGCAGTGACCTCTTTAAATGTTTTATTGTATTATCTATGTGCAGGAACACCAAATGCAGTGAAGCAGACTTTCCACTAATTAAAAAAATGTTAGAATAAAAGGAGCCATTAAAAACCTCACTTTTCTAAAAAAAAAAAAACTAAAAGCAGTCTTTTTTTCCTAATTTTTATTATGTTAAATTTTAGTGAGAGGTTTACTGTGATTACATAAATGTTTTGTTTATTGTGCTGTTTTTTTGCAATATAACAAACACAATACTGTGTGAAAAGTGAACATTTCTACTAATATCCAGCAGGTTCTTGAAAAACTCATCCATGCTTTTAGTTTTAGCCAAACTGATTGCATTAAAAGTCTGTTCATAAGTCTGCCTTAAAAGTTAATCAGATCCAGAAAGCTGTTGTCAGAATCCTCACTAAAATTTAAAAAAAAAGAGCACATCATCCCCATCATCCCTATTCCTGCATCGTAGACAACAGCCTTTAAAATATTACTGCTAGTTTCTGTTAGTTTCTAAATGACTATGGGCTGAGCAGCGTTGTCCACAGGGAATTCAAGATCTGTTGTGGTTTAACTAACATTTCAGACACATCAGGCCTGCTGCTTTAACCTCACTCTGCATCCTCAGAATCTAAATAAAACATGGAGAAGCACGATTTAGTTTAGATGCTTCATATGAGACTCTGAGGAAACCTTTTATCTAAATTTTCTTACCTTTTCTTTATTATCCCACTGCAATATACCTTTAATGTTTTTTTTCCTACATCATCAAAAGCACTTTAAAGTGTTCCTTATCTGAAATGTGCAATGCAAACAATGTGCCCTCCTTTACAGTCGTCTTTGCTATTCCTTAATCTCAACTTATCTAACTAATTAAAAAAATAAAATAAAACACAAAGTGCAACCCTGCTGCTCCAGGGGATATTAAGGCAAATCAGCAGTTTGGATGCACCGGCAAATGTACCTCCAGCGGAGATCATGCATAAAACTCAGAATTCAGAGTACTAACCCATTTACAGGATAGTTCCCAGGATGGAAGGGTCACGACTGTAATCCCTGTTATGTCATACAGGTATAAAAGCAAGAGCCCCCAGTTCTCCACATTTGGCACTGGAAAGGACAAGTGCATTATTTATGTATTTTTTTGGCTGGCTAAGCAAAAGGCTGCATCTAGCTGAACAAAAATGGCTTATAAATTTGGTTGAAAAGATTCTTAAATATAAATTGTCCGTAATTATGACACTGTTTTTGTTCTGCTCCAATATTGAGGAGTGGAACACCAGTACCAGCAGCTACTACATCTTATCTGTTCAAAAAACCTCCTGAACTAGAGACTGACACGGGAGTGGATTTTCACTCCTGTCCCGTCCCATTCCCACAGAAAAAAATGGTGTCCCGTCCCGATCCCGGGCCAGAGTAGAAATCTAAATCCTGTCCCGTCCCACTCCTGGTGAAATTACTCCCACTCCCATCCCGCTCCCATTCAGAATGACTCCCGCTCCTGCACCACTCCCATTCTTGTTGTTTTTGAGCGCGGGTGAAAAACTCAGAGCGGAAGTTACTATTGGTTTGCTCCCGCTGCCGTCTGCTCCCGTTAATGTTTAATCCTGTACCGTCCCAATCCCGTGATCATTACTAATATTGACTCCCATCCCACGGGAATACTACGGGAATCCCGTGACCCGTGGGATTCCCGAAAAAATGTCAGTCTCTATCCTGAACTCAACAAGCTCGGCTTTTCATCAGAACAATTCACAGTCAAAGGTTTTGTCTGGCAAGAGATGATTAAGTATTTCAACATAAAACGATCTTTATCTCAGTACGTGGTTTTAACAATGCTGAGATTTATTCCGTGTTACAGTAAGTGTCCCAAAAACAAACAAACACAGACTGGAGCAAATAGTCAGAATCCAGACAACAACATTCAACATGTCCTCAAAAGTGTGGATTTATAATTAGACTCGATGGTCATCTACCTAATCGTTCTGGCCAAATGTTTTTTATACAAATGCTAATTTTAAAATAACACCCCAAAGTTTATAAAGAACATCATCTTTTTTCATCTCTTTATGATTCATCTGAACAAAGAGTATGGAAGAAACATCATGTTAAATCACAATAAAGTATAAAGAAACCTCCATTCTCCTCATAGAGCTATCAATCATGCTGGCATTAGTTGCTAGGCGACAGACATTATGTTGATGTAAGGGAGAGGAGAGCTAGTAAAGGCTAGACAGTCTAAACTCACAGTTCGTCACTCTCAGTCTTTGTCATTTTTGCTCTTTTTAAAGGACCCACATGAAGTCCAATGAAGGTGCATATGTAGCAGCACACCACCATCTTGGTAGTCCATCACTACATTCAATCAGTCAGTATGATGAAAGAAATGAATTGTCCAAAATGTATCATTTTTCTTATTCAGCATAGTTCAATTTTAAGTTGTTGTTTTTTTATTTACATATATAGACTGTATGTTTGAAAACCCACTAACTGTTGTCCTCCTTTACCTTTCAGAGTAAATTTGGCCAAATTTCTAATTCCTCAAAACAAACTAATTATCCTGTGATATAATTGCATCATTAAATTGATTATTGTATTTAGTTGTATACTTATTCTCCTTTCCTTTTTTCTTTTTTCTGTACTTGCTTCATTCTTTCCATTTTACCTTGTAGTTTAGTTGAATGGTAAAAGCCTTGCTAAAAGTTTTCTTAGCTAGCATTTCTTAGCTTAAAGGTTAATTATTTTTAATCGAATTTTAGTATTTTAAAGATTGTTTGTATTTATTCTATATATCTGTGAAGTTATTACTGTTGTTGTTTTAAATGCCACAGCTCACCAAGGAGGTCACCTCTGCTGAGTTGGATTTATTAAACAATAACTCAGGAACTGAAAACTTTTTGAATATCAATTCCCGTTAAACAGGTGGTATCCTGACTCGGTTAATTTGGAGAACAGTTATGACTTTCTTAATATTTGCCTTTGGCAGCCATTATTAGTTATAGCACAAAATTTTACATGTTTTTGTTTTACCTATTTTGCTTTTTACTACTTTTGCATAATTCAAAGGATTACTATACTTACTTTTATGGCTGAGGAACTAAATTAGATATTTACCTCTAAGAAGGTAGAATTTATGTTTCACAGAGAACATTTTAGATTTTTAAAGAGTTCTCCAGCCTTAATCCTGATGGGTGCAGATGATCTCTGCAGCACCTGAGATTTAGCAGTTGGTTCTTTAGTCACCTCCTGGATTTGTTCAGGATCTACTCTTGTAGTTATTTTGGGATTCTATTCTTAACACTATTTAATGTTGTCACCGCTTGTAGACTATGGTTATGGTTTCTGTTTTCACAAATAATGCCTCATGTCTATGTGTTGTTTAATTGGCCAATCCTGCAAACACCAGCCTTTTTTTTATAACAGTCTATGGGCTGCATGTGTTTTGCTAACTATACAGAAAGACCAGCAAGGCAGGGTATAAGACCAGGATAAATTTTTACAAATTTTTGTACATTTATATACATAAAGTAATTGCTACCAAATGTTTTATTGGGTTTAAAAGAGCATTATTTATTTATTTTTTTTTTTTTTTCATACCATTGCTGATTTGAATGATAATTTTATCTGCAGCCCCATACGAACTGCAGTCAATGCTGTGAATCACAAGTAAGGTTATGAAAGCCAAATGGATGCTTTATGTTTATATTTTCTTTAGAGAGGTGGCATGCCATTGTCCACCTATGTATGGCTTCACTGATCCTTCAGATGGACGTCAGTGTTTTTTGTTTAATATTTTTGTTAAATTCCCTCGATGGGTTCAGATGTGATTGTTAAGATTTCCCAACAACTTCCTGTTGTCAGACAGACCCTATTTCAGGGATTTCTCTCTTCTACAGTCAGTGATCAGATCAGTGTGCTTGTATAAATAGACAAAACATTCTTGTTTGCAGTTATTTCACAATTTACCAACAGCCTTGATTGCTTATTTATATCAATCCGGGTTTGTTTAACTAGATTTTAACCTTAATAAATGAAATAAGTTAAACAAAAGCTTTTTGTATCTACTTCAACATTTACAACGACTGTTTCTGCAATGGCCTAAATAATTTTCACAGCACTTTAAAGAGCAGACCAAGTATTTATCCACATGAAGTTGTTTAAGTGATATAATCTGATATAATTCCTGTCTAAGCATTTGCTGATGTGCAGAAATTGCCAAACTTTGATTGGTTTTGAATTCATAACATCAAATGTTATCTTTTAATTCAACTTAGGTCTACATTTACATATTCATATTAGCCAATTTTAGCTGTGCATTTTGGTTATCACAATCAGCTGGGCTTGCATCAATGTCAGTAGCATTTCCTAACTACAAAGAGAGAAAAAAAAATATTTACTCACACTGAGTATATTCCTGTAGCAAGGCAAATTCTGCTGGGGTCAGTGTGACCCATTTGTCCTGGATGCTCATTGTGCTCAGTCCTTATGTCCGTGTTCTCCAAGCATTCCCTGAACGTCACACGCTGGAAAACATCAGACAACCAGCTCCATTACCAGCAGCAGTCACCTTCTTATCCTTCTGCTTTGCCTCCTTTGAAGAAAAGGTCAGAGAAAATGGCAGAGCGGGTCAGATGCACTCTCAGCTTTATTCAGCACACAGAAAATATCATTGTCTTTGTTGGAGGTAGCAACAGAAGAAGGCTGTTAGTTCAGAAGCTGATACTTTCTGCATTTTCATGCAATGCTTTTCTTTCTACTTCATTAATTTCTGCCATAATTTCTATCCCCCCAAATTAATTCTCTGAACAAATCCAAGAAGAGACACATTTTGAATATGCCTGTTTGGTGATAATTTTAAAAAAAAATCTAATTTTTGTGCACATTCGTTGTTGATTAATTTTAGATGTATTAGACTGAACAATAGAAATAAATGAAGAAAAATGTATTTCCATTTTGCTCGACTTTGCTCTAAGGATGGACAAATATGCGTCCTTTAAACCACAGGCAGTTTAATTAAACCATTTTAACATTCACAGTAATACAGTATTACGGTACTATTAGGTAGGTACAGTAGATTAAATACTATAACAGGTAACATTTTGATGTATCTGATGGGTAAAGGTGAAGCAGCCAGTAACTTCCTTTGAGCCCCTTCCCTACAAGTGGCCTCAGAGTGTGGTGTTTGTAATGCTGCACTTGTGATTTATGACAATACCTTTAATATCCTATCAAAGGGAACATTTTAATTTTATTCTGGACAATTTTTTTCCTATATTTTTTGATTCATTTCAGAAAGAGGGGAATATTTCAGGGCTTTTTTTATTGCAATTTTGATTATTTTTAGCTTAGTGTCTTAGAAACAAACAGATAAGTTAGCCTTTTAAAAGGTATGTTTCTTTGTATGCACTAGGGACCATGCAGAGCCTCTTTAAGTGTGCATGAGTGCAGCATGATAACAATGGTATGGAATATTGTTATCGTATCAGAAATGAAAAAGCTGTATTGGGACACTCCTGTTAAATGTAAACCTTACTTTCATTTCATTTCCAAGAAGGATTTTTGTCTACAGAGCAACAACAATGCCGGTTAAGACAATTCTGAGGTTGCCTCTTTTTATAACAGATAGTAGTAGTAGCCCATGTGTAGGATTAATCTGTGTGTCTCAGCTCATGATGTTCTGACTGCAGCGTTATTTCATTTCACCAACACTTAGATAAAAACTTATATTGATTCTGTTTGATCAGTCCTCTCAAAGCTGCTTTTATCCTGTTCCTGGAACATCTTTTCCTATAAACGTTCTTCCTTCCACATAACTTTCTTTAAATATGCTTTGATAAAACACTCTGAAAACAACCAACCTTATGTGGCTCACTCATCTTGGGAAGGGGTTTAAGTCAACAACCTCTCCCATTATTGTTTCTGTTGAATAAAAATTTTATGACACAATATTTGAAGTTTTCTCATCCTCTGTGCGTCACAAGTAAAGGTTCAAATGTTTAAATGTGTAACAATTCACTACTGTACATTAGCTTCACTTTACGAAATGAGGGGCAGAAAGCATTTATATATATATTTTTTTTAATTAAAGATAATTTAAACTTTTAAGCCATCATTACCACCATAGAACAGATTACAATCGATTGGGATCCTTCAGGGATAAGCTATCGTTCTCTATAGCTTGTTTGAAATTCTCAAAGCAGCTAGATGTTTGGATTTAATTTGTGGCATTAAAGTAGGACGGACAAATACAAAAGGACACAGTTTTTGTTTTCCTACACAACATCAATGCATTTATCATTATTCTTTCACTTTACAATTAATTGTGTTTGTTAATCAAATATCAACAAAATAAAATGAACAAAATGAACAAAAATAACAAAATCTAAAAAAAAAAACTTTAAAGGGTTAACTTCTCGCCTGTGAACACCTTGGTGTTGCAGTCACAGAGAAGAATGCCTTGGCTAACTGAAAATGGACTGATGCATTGTTATAGAACTTGACTCTATTTCCCTATCTGATTACAAGCTGTCATTTCTTTACTTCTCTAAAGGGAAAGGATGAATTACAACAATGTTGCTTTTTAACAAATACTTTAGTTTGTTTTGTTTTTAAAGCAGCTACTTTTCGAGTTGGAAAATAAAATCATCATACATCAAACTTGATATTTAAAGGGTGTCCAGAAATGATATTATCTAAATAAAGTGCATAAGGGTTTTATATTTGTGTATTAATATTTCTGAGTGTGTGGGTTGTGTTTCTAAAAAAAAGATTCCAGTTTAAAAAAGGACATATTTAAAAAAAAATATAAGTGCACCTGTTTGGTTTAGCTTAAAGAATCACAAAATCTCAACAATCAGTAAAATTATTTTTGTTTAGAAAAAGAAAATGCTCTCATAGTTGTTTCCATCCTTTAAGGCTCCTCTGGTGTTTCTTTTCACAATGATTCTCAATCAGCCCTACTGGCTGCCATGATGACACCTCGATGAAGCTCTGCCCTAAACACCTTTTTTGACAGTTTTTTTTTTTTTTCCGCTTAACTGATTTTATCTCAGTTATACTTAAGTATATTAACTAAAAAAGAATAATTTTAGGTTATCAGCTATCTATGCAGAAACACTTTTTTTTGTTGTTTCAAAAGTGCTCAGATTATAAATTAATAAATGGATATAAATTTTGTTTAGGTTTTTCTTTTCAGAATTTGAAAAACATCCTAAAATGAACCTCATCAGCACCCATAGGATTATAGCTGCCCTGCTTTAAGGTGAACTGCATCATCAGCCGTCACAGTTCAGCTCTTTTGGCTGATATAACCTTGTTCTCTGTTTGTGTAGCTATTGTGTCCTTATTGTTCCGTTTAGGTCATCCTAACCCGTGCATTTGTGTGATTGTCTGCATCTGGGTCTGCATCAGTATTGCAACAGAAGTATTTGACCCAATTACTATGAACTGAAAGCCTGGATCAACAAGTGGATGTTCAGTCATGTGAAGGCTAATTTCACATGACTGAAATTTGTTTGTGTTGCTGCGAGAATAAACAGAGTACACGGGTTTGTTTTTTATTGGGCCTTTGATTTGTTTTTGGCCCATCTGTGGGTGTGTGTGTTCACTGATGTGTGAGTGTGTAAGTATGCATGTGCATAAATTTCCTTAACAAATAACTGGGAATCATTTTTCTGATGCAGCTCAATCACAGAGATGACAGAGAGTTACAGCAAAAACAGAAAGAAACCAGCAGTAGAAGCCATATCAGAGATGCATATGTGGGATTAAACCTTTTGCGCATAAACTTCCTTCGACAAAACTCTTCCTTCAGGAGATGAGCAACAGAAAAGAAGCTAAGTTAAAAGTCTTATGTAAAACTGGCTCTCTTAATGTATTCCTGCTGTGCACCTCGATCATCTTCTCCCTCTTTCTGCAGTGCATCCTCACAACACACTCTGGCAACAGACTCAACAACAAGAATCTAGCTCTGCAAATGTCACAGCAGTGGTACTGCTCCAGTGGTGCAGCAAAAAAAACAGCATCACTATTCTATGGCAGGGAGGTTTAACTGAAGGCACAGTAGGTGTTGAATGTGAATGAATAGGATGACATATCTAGATGCTGCTCACCTGCTGCAGGGCTGAAGATAACCGCAAGAGCAGCGAGGAAGACAGATGTCTTGAAATGAAGCCCCTCACTCAGATTCCTGCCTTCAGTGCTGACTGGATCTTCTCTGAACTGCGAGATAGGCGTGTGGTTTTAATAATTCTCTGTGTACACGGCAGCAGCAGCAGCAGCCGCCCTCTGTGCTGCATGTCACTATGAGAGCAAATGAATGGTGGAGTGATTGTTTTCTTCCCTCTGATGGTGTCTGGTCAGAACACCATGAAGGATATGAAGTGGTGACACACTGAGAGAGGGAAAGAGAGAGAAAAGGGGAGGATGAGAGAGAGAGAGGAATTATCTAGGGTTAGTCTGCCTACAGTGTTCAGTTTCCATACTCCCGCTCGCTCACGTCATATCCCTCCTTCCCTCCCCTTGCTCACGCTGCTGCTCATCTTTCCCTCCCTTCCTCCTAAAAACCCTCAGGTCCTCTGTTCTACCATCTCTCTTGTTTTTCTCACACCCCTTTTCTCTTTTAAACCCACCTTTATGCTCCTATGCTAACCAGCAAGAAGAAAATAAAACACAATGTTATAACATTTTGTTATGTATTTTTTGTTTGTTTTTAAGGAAAGCTGAATTGCAGTTTCTTTTACGTATTTAAAAAAGTACCATGGATGTGCTAAAACTGGTGTCATGACAACAACATGCATAGAGTAGCTTTTTATTTTCATGATATGATATATTAATACATTTTACCACTGATGAACCTAGAGAAATGTCCACTCCTCTTTAAAAAAAGGACATTTATACTCACCAGTACTGCAGTTTGTGGCATAAATTATTATCTCTGTTTTCAAAGATATAATGTTGCAACTTGCAAGCTGCTTCCATATGATCTGATAAAGTCGAATAAAAGAACGCAGGGAACAAATCAAGTGGATCCAACAACCCCATGGCCCCCCACCTCTTAAAACCACTGTGAGACACCACTAACTGTGACAAAAAATGTCATAGGAGATATGACATGACCTCTATTTGGGACTAGCACCAAGTACACCCTTATTTCATTCACAAGTTCAAATGTAGCATTGTGTGCTAGGCAATATGTGCCTACTATTTTAATATCTCCCCTAATATCGCCTGGGAACTCCTTGGGATTCCCCCGGAGGAGCTGGCAATATGGCGAGGCCTGGGCGTCCCTACTGAAGCTGCTACCACCTTGACCCGACCACGAATAGGTGGAAGAGGATGGATGGATGGATGGATGGATGGATGGATGGATGGATGGATGGATGGATGGATGGATGGATG